GGGTGGCATCCTAATTGTGTTTATTTGACAACATATGAAGTAAGTATTTATGTTTATCCACAAAAAATAGGTGACTAGAATGGCGTGAAATAAAAAAAATCGAATTGGCAATTACAGTAAAACATTGGATTGCGAGTAACTTGGTCTGCGAGTGTTTTGCAAGACGAGCAAAAATTTTAAATAAATATTAATTTGATAAACGAGCGAGGGTTTTGCAATACGAGCAGTACGTGTACGCTTTGTCTGCTGAGCGTCACGTGATCACAACTGATATACGAGTGCTTTGATATACGAGTGCTTTGGATTACAAAATTATGCTCGCAATCCAAGGTTTTACTGTACTTTGTTAACTGTCGTTGACGTGGAACCTGGAGACCGTGAACGATGTTTGTTTAATTCTGCCCCCACAGATGCGGCCACAAAGAAGCCGTGTTTTTCCAGTCGCACAGCGCAAGGGCGGAGGTGAGCCAATACTTTTATTAATCCACAAGCTTACTCATTGCTGTGCCCAAAAACATTATCATCAGCCAAAGTCAATCCACTGCTGGATGAGGGCCTCAGTAAGCCACCATTTCTCGTGGCCCAGAACGTACTTGTGTGTCTGCCCGTCTGTCCATATGAGGACAAAACTCATAAATCGATCCCAACGACGTTAACCGCACAGCTTACCAATACCAAAGGACAAATCTGTAAAGTTGTTTATTTGAATGGCAAAAATTTAAGGGTAAAATTGCATTGCATGAAGAAAAGTAATGTTCTGAATACCAGCATGATTAGCATGCATCAGAGTGTACACGCTTGCCTATAACCAATGTGCACGTCACGTGTTAATATTTCCTGTGTGCACACATTTCTTCCCGAGGTCAAATTCCCTCACAAACAGGAGGCTCCCTGAATGGATTTATTAGTCAGCTTGTTAAAACGTGTACAGGAAGCATGATTATCTGGGGTTATTGGTGGGGGAGAGATGGCCCAGATGATAGAAGTAAAACACAGGTAATACAAAACGTATGTAAATTCTACTATACAAACGTGTTGTTTACCTTGTTGAATGGGAGTGAAGACGTACAATTGTCGTTTTTTATTTCTTTAAAGAGCAGCCGGTAATAGAATCGGCGTTTAAAAGGCACCAATGAGTATGCAATCCAAAATAAAAATCTATATTTTGTTTTGCAAGCATGGATTAATCTGCATCCAGAATAATCTGACTCCTGATAATTGAGATGTAAGCTCTTAAATGTGTTTTTTGGGGTTTTACCTCTTTGTACAGGCAGAAAGCACAGCGAAGAGCTGTACAACGGATGAATTAACTAATTCATATTAGAGGAAAATAAATTTAAAGTTCTTTGTTTACCTTCCAGCCTCACTCAAACGCCGCATACCTTCGCTGCACACCCAACACCGCGTGCTTACTTAGGCTATTAAAAGCGAGCTGCAGAGGGTATGTTTATGGTTATATAAATAGAGGGAGCCTCACCAAACTTGTTTTCATTCGTCTAAATCGCGTTAATATTTTAGCTTACAATGCATCGGTTTTTTTTTCATCTTAAAAAAAACATGTAACCCGGCGATTTTGCAGTGCAATGTTCCTTTAACGTTTGAGTGCCTCTTTAGCAACACCTGGGTGGATGGAGCATCCAGCAAATTGGACCTTGAGGCGACAGCCTGTGGCGTAATGTCCCATATAATCGCTTTGCAGTTGCCATGGTGGATAGTGTGCCACAATAGCATTTAGGCATATGAAACGTGAGACATGTTTCCATCTCTGCCATCGGTCGTGGGTCTGACAACACAGCAACAGCAACTTATGAGGCACAACCAGCGGTCCAGAGAAGGATGCGTACTGAATTACGCACGGCATTCCAGTTTAGCGCGTAACTATTCACCGAGCGATGTTTCTGCACAGCTTGAGTTTGTATGACAGAAAAAAAAAACACAAAGTAAGCACAGTGTAGTAGTAATATTATTAGTACTCTTGTTTCCAGCATGTATGCACATTTCTGCCTAATGCCTCGCCATTTACAGAACGTTTTGTAATTGGTTTGTCTTTGTTGCCTTTTGACACGTGCCATCTATCATCTCTTGTCACTCAGGACGCCATGAGGCTGTACTACGTGTGCACCGCACCACACTGCGGACACCGCTGGACCGAGTAACGAGAGCGAGCGTGCTGTCGGGCTGTTCGCCAGGTGGCCGAGATGCCCGGGCCTCTGGCCTTTGCCACGAATGCAGAAAAACCTAGCATCTTAAACACGAATGTCGTCCGTGATGTACATTATCTGTCGTCTTGTGTTACTAAAATAAATGTTTTTGAGTAACTTTCTGTCATGTCTGCGTGTGTTCATACTAATGATATTTGTGTTATTGGTGTCGGGATATTTCTTCAATTTTTTTGCTCGCTATTTTGTTCCAATGTCGCTGTGAGCATCGTGTTGTGAGACGGAGGGACATCCATTCGGAACTCTCACAGAGTAGTGCGACCCCCACCATGTCTACATGTTAGAGCATGACCCGTGGAAGGAGATATGACGGAACTACTACTGAGATCCCTTCATGTGGTCCATTTTAGCCACACCAGGAGCCCACATTCCCACAAGCTGTAATATCGTGGAATGTTCATCGCATGAGTCGTGTGTCTATATTCAGTATATTTCATTATCTTGGAAATTAACCAAGCCAAGTGAAAAACGAATGTGTCATTCAAAAGAAATGTGTGCAGTTACTGGTGACCAGGCTGAAACCAACAACTTACTACAATTGGTGTCTGACGTATTACTACAATTGGTGTCTGACGTCTGACCCACCTGACTACCTCGTCATTTTAATGAAGTAGTGTACTTTGTAAATCAGTGATTTCTCCGTCATTTGTGGTCTTGGCATGATTTTTGTGTCATAGTGGGAAAGGAAATTCATCACACCTTGAGAACTGATTGTTAACAAAAATCACTAATCTTGAAATAACAGTAAACCCACGTTTTAAAGTGAAGTCTTTATCTCTGATACTATATTTAACCTGCTGAAAGAGTGCCGCGTGCCTTTTGTTTAGAGTGTTATTCCTAAAGGTGTCAAAAGGTGCGTCTGTATCGTTCCTATGCCCTGGGCGCAGTGACGTAATTCACTTATTTGTTTATTTTTTGTGTTGCTGTGGGATTGCCAGTTTACTATGTGCAGTATTTACATTCTCCATAGCTCCCGTGACTCATGCAAGCATTGCATCAAGCTCTCGTTTCTCGGCCTTGCATCAGATTCTAACTGAGGATAAACAATGTGGAACATTTTTTTAACCCCTGCGGTTGTCCTTCGGAGCAAAATTGGGGCGCTTACATTTCGACTGTCACGTGACTTCTTAAATATACAATTATATCTTCTTTGGTTAATTCGGTAAAGTCACGTAGAATGAGAATAAAATAATAAATTGATAAAATAAAATAATAATATTCTCACGACGTTTCGGCCACCAGACAGTCTCGTCCCTTCACCTGATGAAGGCTGCTTGTGTTGTGGCCGAAACGTCGTGAGAATATTATTGTGTTATTTTATTTTATCAATTTATTATTTTATTCTCATTCTACGTGACTTTACCGAAAGAACCAAAGAAGATGAATCATTGCAGTCAGGAAAGCTTTAAATCGAAATATACAATTATAATTTATATTGTGGTATTGTGTAAGCTATGTACCGTGCTCTTTCAGCTTTCCATTTAAAATATACGTTCCAAAAGTACCGTTTAGCGTAGCCTCGGGAAATATGATGCGTAGTTTATTATATGAGCCAATTCTTGGTCAAAACGTTACAAAATATACTCAGCCGTGGCATTAAGTCTAGTAAGAAAACACCATGGGGGTATTCGAGCAGCAAGAGATTATTCTGATGCAACACTTCGATTTAGACAAAATTAACAGCACAATAGGGACAGCTGATAGAGCTGTTGATAGAACCGTCAATGACGGCTGTCAATATCTATCCAGCATTGATAATGCCAGTGGATAGTAATTATCTCATAATAATTCATAACATGATGCGCAGTGTTAAACTAAGTAATTATCTCAAGTGCGAACACCAAATATTCCCGTAAGTTTACTCCAATGGCCGATATATTCCATTAGCTGGTTGTAATTACTGGCGAAACGTCGTACTCGGATTGTAAATGTTGTGGCTTGGCTCTCCAACACACCGTTAGTGCTGTACTAGTCTACTATACACTACACTATACACTACACCACTTTACACTATACACTACACTATACACTACACCACTATACACTACACCACTATACACTACTATACACTACACCACTATAAACTACTATACACTACACCACTATACACTACACCACTATACACTACACTATACCACTATACACTACACTATACACTACACCACTATACACTACTATACACTACACCACTACACTATACACTAGTGCTGTACTAGTGACGAATTGGCCACGTTCTGTTTACGTGACAACTCTTACTAGTTGGCTGTGTCGGGTGGTGGCGGGCTTTAACGACACATATACGCGATCTACCCCCCCCCACCCTATTATGGGTTTATATTTGGTGTTTGCACATCTTATAGCAGCAACCTCCCGCTTTACCACTGCCAGAGAAGGTAAACAACTATTATTATTATGGTTTAACACGTAGGCTTTCGCGACCAATATTATCCTTAATATAGGTGGGGGGGGGGGGTTTGGGGGGGGTAGATCGCCTAAATATTTTACAATTATTTTTATTTGATAAACTTATTTTTTTACACTCACAAAGTACTGATGTTTGGACACCAGGGGGCCCGTGATATAAACACTGGGGGGGCGGGGGGGCGCGGGGGGGGCACGGGGGGCGGGGGGGCCCGGGGGGGCGGGGGGGGCCCGGGGGGGGCGGGGGGGCGGGGGGGGCCCGGGGGGGGCGGGGGGGGGGCGGGGGGGGGCGGGGGGGCGGGGGGGGGGCGGGGGGGCGAGGGGGGGCGGGGGGGGTCTCGTGGGGGGCGAGGGGGGGGGCTGTCACCACCACCACTCGTGGCGCTGACCGAGGCGCAGTGATGACGACTTCGTGGCTGGAGATGCACGGCGAGCGAACGCGCAGCAGCAACAGCAGCAGCAGCGACTTCTCCGCGTCGTCGCGATTGTTGTTGTTGTAGTTTAGTTGCGTCTCATGGAAGAGGACACTCGCAAGGGCAAGGCGTCGAGGCTTCGTTGAGAGACGAGAGAGACTCGAGCGAGCGAGCGAGAGCTCGATTCGAGCGGCGGGGGGAGGACGAGGAAGAAGATGGACGCCTTGGTCGACCTGTTCACGGGCCCCGGGGCGCCGTGCGGACCCAAGCGAGGCGGCGGCGGCGGCGGTCGATCCCGCAAGCAACAACAGCAGCAGAAGAAGCGCACCCGGCCCCATCAGATCCAGAACCAGAACCACAGCCTTCACCAGCCTCAGCCACAGCCATTTCTACCGCCCGAGGTACGCAAGCGAGTGCCGCCAAAAAAAACATCAACAACAACATCATCATCATCACCACCAGCACCACAAGCACCACCAATCATCGTCTCGAGGAGAAAATGTGTTGGGAGAGAAAATGCATGTGGCAAATGGTGGTGACGACGATGACGATGTGGTATAGCTTGCAAGCGTTATCGTGCTCGGCATCGGCGCATGGTTAATCCACTTCTGGGTGAACAGGCGCCGCGATGTAACAGTCCACTCGGTGTTTTGCACAAGAGTTTATTATAGATCGCTCCGTCTCCACGCTGAATATGCAGTTGGGCGCGTGCCAATTCGTAGTAGTCCGTCGCTGTTGTCATCTACGTTTATTTGTAATATGCAGCGAAAGACGACGACGACGACAGTGGATTTTAAGGAGGCTTTTCATCCAGCAGTGGACTGACGTTGAACGCCGTAGAGGTCGCGGCCTAGCGAAGCTGACGCACCGGTCTTGCATAGTTAACGCTGCCGCCTCGGGCGAGGGGGGAACCGGCCGAGCCGAGGGCGCCCGTGCGGGGTTGGTTTGGGGCTGACTGATGTCCGTAAATAAACACACTTTTTTTTACTTGCGAGATTGGTTTAATAAGTATTCGGATGTGTCCGTATGCTCGGGGCGCTATAGATGAAGTTAGTTTTAAACCTACCGTGATGGGGTGTTTTTTTGTGTACGGGAGCACGTATGTAGAGGAGATGGAGCGACACTGTAATCAGCTGGGGTGACACTGTAATCAGCTGGGGTGCAGGGTGGATTGTCACGTCTCAAGATCTCGAGAGACGAAGGCGGCTTTGGGATGCCTTAAACCAGCAGTGGATTGACCACGGCTGACAGTGGTTTCCAATGTTTGTAGTTAACAGTTACCGTGTTGCTATAAGTGTTGTATAATGCCGTAATCGCTGTGCTCTGCGTAATTTGTTCACATTATGCCGTGGACGAGTATTAACAAGTTTCTTAACTTTGTTTCAGGCCGAAGAGGGGAATATAGAATATAAGGTAAGGTCGGTGTGTACACGTCATCTTCCGTCTTGTAAACACATCTCCACTAGTCACATGGAAGAGAAGACTACATTACGTTGGTTACTGCCAGGGCAATCAGTCAGAACCCATGGAGACGGAGAAGCCTTCTAAAAATACAACGGGTGTGTATCTATTCCGATTGGTTCACATGGAATAGATAGCAGTGGTTGTTAGCACAATGTGCTCTTGAACCTGGCGACCTGAGTTCAATTCCCTAACCCATGGCTAACGTTAGTGGCGAGTGATGTCCTTCAGCTTCCTTATCGCCTCTTTTAATGACCGGCGTGGTAGAGTATGGCCAAACAACACCGCACACGACTGACACGGCATGCGCAGGCGGTCCGTCGTCAATCAGTGAATTGTTATTTAACAATACGGAAAGATGTATCACGGGCCTGTTGCTTCCCTTGTGACCGAGTGGATTGTGTCTGTCGGAACTTCGTTGAAAACTAGCCCCTTGATCGTTAAGCTTTCCCCCCATTGTAGAGTAATTGAAAATGCAGTCTCACATTAATTGTATGATTGTTTATTGATACTACAGTAAAACGAAATTGAACACATCCCATTTTCAGGACCCTCCTGATAAGTCTTGGGACTCAAGTCACTGACGCTTAAATAAATGATTTTCCCGTGGTGTGCTATTTTAGATGGTAAATTGAGCTCTGGTATACGTGATAAATAACATTGTTATCTTAAGTTGTTTGATGTATATTAAATACAGTACCGCGTTAGTATTATGAAATCTTCCTTTTTTTTAGGCAGACTCTAAAGTTATCTTAACTCTACCGATGTTACAAAGTAACTTTTGCTATATTTTGACCATTTTGAAGTGTCATATCGTACTGATAAAATACTTCTGTGCTGACACACTTTAATTGCATTGTATGATATTGAAACACTTAGTTGCGTGAGCTGGAGAATCCAGGCCCAGTTCAGATATCATGATGTTAGCCGTGGCCGTGAATAAAAATCGGGGTTCCAGATTCACGTTGCAGCTTGTGAACCATGGTGCCAGGACTTTATCTTTAGGTGGTAAAAATTAAATAAAATCTGATATATTTTGCAAAGAGCATTGACTGGTGGAATACAGTACATTCCTTCATATCGTCATGCACTCTTTGCTAACAGCAAGTTAGCCTTATGTAATTGTGGTTTCAATAGATCAATTGGAATTATATCATGGGATACAGTCACGCACGTAGGTGAATGAGATGCAATTTCTGTATGTGCTGCCAACACTTAATGCGTGGCTTCTTGCTGATATAATAAGACAGCTATTTTGAGACGCACGATTGGAATTACACCGAGAGGCAAAAAGAGGAGCATAGGAATATATACAACAAACGCAACATCAACAAAAAATATTGAGTGTTAAGTAAAGTGTATGGGGGCTGTGGCAGGACATCGCTCGAATTAATTATGGCGAATGGACGAGACTCGTGACAGAATGGCAGCTAAAGGATGACCAGCTCATGTGCAGGAGTGAAATGAACCGTGGCATCATCGTGACCATGTGTGATTGTGATGGCATATGGAGACCATCCAGCAGTGGCTAGGTCATGGCAGATGATGATGTTTGGGATATATTGCTGGATGGACACATTCTGTGGTCACACTGGAAACTGGAATAATACCGGTGCCTAGTTTCCCAGCAGGGAACTTGTAATCGGAGAGGAGAAGGGGTAAATAAATGGCCCTTGCCCCTCCCGTGTAAACCGATGCCCTTCGTTAATGCGGCTTCCACCTATTATTGCATCAGCCGATTCTTTATGTTATGGGAATAGGTTATCAACTCCACAGAGTAAATGTGCGATTGTGTTTTTTCTTGTTGTCAATTTAAGTTTTAAGTCGTGATACTTGAGCATATATGACTTTCTCATGTACAGCCTGGTTAAAATGCATACAAGTACTGCATCCCATCTGGATACCATAGTGATACATTTTAAGTAACTTAAGCAAAGAATGAAGTATTTCACGCCAATTCATGTATTATTTAGCCCTAGGTTGTGCCTGGGTCCAAGAGATCAGGCATGTTGTCATTCGTGTACATGTTAAGACTCTTGCATCACCTTATGCAAGCCATACACCACCTTATTACCCAGGCAGATCAACAAGTCATCTTTTGTGAGCAAATATACATGATTGCTTATCGGAGGCTTCTAGACCCAACCACTGTAACAGAATAAAGGACAGGGAAATCCATTTATAGATACCCTACTAAAATAATATGGAGAAAATATAGGGCCTCGACATTGTCTTCCCACCTAAGTACACAGATTTAATCTATTAACACTCCTATGTAACATTTGGAGCCATCACTTTCACACTATGCAGTCACTTGATGCGTGGCTTCTTGATGGGAAGAAAGAGGGTCGTTAGACATCAGTGGAAAAATCTATAAATGGATCCCCTATTGCTTCAGAGCTGCATCCTTGGGATAATAGCAACACCAGGCCAAGAATGTCTTGTTGTTAAAGAACAAAATAATAGTAAGCTCATTGTGTTTGACTTTTTTTGTTTTCTTTATTTTTTTCTTTCATACTGCGTCGATGAACAGTTGAAGCTGGTGAACCCTTCGCAGTATCGCCTCGAGCACCTCGTCACTCAGATGAAGTGGAGGTTACAGGAGGGCCGCGGTGAGGCCATTTACCAGATCGGCGTGGAAGACTGTGGCCTCATCGCTGGACTCTCTCTGGAGGAGATGAGAGCCTCCTTGAAAACGCTACGCCGCATGGCCGACAAGTAAGTACTTGTCACTGCCCGTTCCGCGCCTGCCCACCCCTGTGTTTGCGTGCCCACTGAAACACTGATTACAGGTCAACATGACCACAGACACAACGACCTCCTCTAAGTTTTACAAACTGCTGTTTATACTGTATCAGAATTCACTAAGCACTTTGGTTTTGTTTCTTCCCATTCAGTTACATTTTTCAAAAGCGATGTATATAACCTGCTCTGACACATGGATCTAAAACGTGTACATTTGACAAAGTGGAACAAAAACTTTAAAAGTTTGCAAAGGCGCATGCTTGGAATTACTTTTCGGAGACGAGAAGAGGAACACCTTGATTCGAAACTGCACACGTTTCAAGTCGTCATAGAATGTTAAGGAAGGTAGGTGTGGGCTTGGGCAGGGGCACATTGCTCAAAGGCATGACGGCCGATGGTCGAGACCAACTCTGGATTGGCAGCCAAAGAAGGTAACACGACCAAGAGGACATCTACCGCTACACGGAGGTGTAGCAATGAAATTCAAGCAGCATCGGGAGGCTATCGAGCAGTGAATAAACAAAGGGATGACATTTTGTATATATTTACTTAAGTATTACATTGGAATCTTAATGTTTTGGTGTGATATGCTCTGGTATGTTTTTTGTATGTTTTTGCATGCTTGAAAATTGTCTAACATTGTCCTGAACAAAAGCAATTTAATATCCTATTCATGTTTTATTCTCGAAAAGCATAGCTATCCTGAACCATAATTTATTTATTGTACTCTATTGTATTTTTAAGTATTTGCAAAACCAATCCACGTAGTGCTGTTCTTCATATGGGTTCGGTATGCACGTTTGTCATGCCAATATCTAAAATGGAACAGTTGTAGCCATTTATCTCAATACCATGACTTAGTAAGAAAAGGCTAATTTGCAACATACGTGAACATTTTGGGCTTTTTCAACGACTGTAATATAATGTATTGTTTAATATACTATGAATAAGCGCCATTTGCCCTAAACATCACCTGTTATATATTTTTCTGTGTAAGTCAGTTCTATTGACGATTGTGGGTTTTTTTATTGTGTGTTTTGAACAGGCTTGGAGCAGACTTAACAATATTACGAGAAAGAAACGTGGAGTTTGAGGACAAGTGCCCAAAAATGGTGGCTGAGGTCTTGATACGGAAGGTCCCAGATGACCAACAGGTAGGTGACCATTGGTCTATATTGTGGGTTTTTCATCATGTCTATCATCTAGAAAAGAGTGTCACTGAGTCTGGTCACCTCCTTGCACGATTGCTTGGCTTCATGTGAGAGGAATGTGCAGTGGCCAGAGAAAGGCCACATGTACGAGAGAAAAACACTCCAAAGCTCCACACGGTTACATTCAATCCATTGCGGAACTGGCATCTCATGGGTTTCCTGCAACAACGACTGTAGCAATACTGGGGGCTCTGTTTTAGGTACAGCATTGGTGGCACAATAATATGATTGGTTTGGATGTGGAAGTCAAAATGTATTTTCTTGGGAGGACATTCCTTTCAGTATTCCACAGACAATATGCCTTCTTATTACGCCACTGGCATAAACTGGATGATCCACACACGTGAAATCCAGCCCTTTCTGTCTATGGGGTATATTGGTGCAAAGTCCAATTTTAAGCCAAGCAATCCTGTTGGGTTTCCTCGCACAACAGTGAATGACCAAGGGATACTTTAATGACAAGTATCCAACTATGGTTGAAAGCGTTAACGCATAAGCTCTGTTGATCTGTCTGTCTGTGACATGCGGTCATGATAACTCGAAAAGATATCCAATGTAAATAAAATGTCAGTAAAATGTTGTCATGTTTTTAGGACATTATCCTTTAGAAAACCAGCCAAATTAATGTAATGCTCACCCAAACAAAACTTGGCAAAAAAACAAAACGGGCACTAATTGGATAACTCTATTCGGCCAATGCGATTACGTGCAACATCGTCTTGTTGCGTGGCTTGGAATTTAACGTTAACGCTAATTGAATACTTTCGAGGACAAGTGCTCGTTGAGAAATCGTTACATGCTCCACGCCACGTAAGTAATGTTTCCCAACTTGTTTTAAATTGCGTTTTGCTGAAGTGCGTCGTGCCCCGCCCCCCCCCCCCAACCCCATCGTCTGTGCCTGCAGTTCCTGGACCTGCGGGTAGCGGTGCTGGGCAACGTGGACGCGGGCAAGTCGACACTGCTGGGTGTTCTGACGCAAGGAGAGCTGGACAACGGGAGGGGTCGCGCGCGTCTCAACCTCTTCCGCCACCTTCATGAAATCCAGTCTGGGCGCACCTCCAGCATCAGCTTCGAGATTCTGGGCTTCAACAGCAAGGGCGAGGTGGGTCACAAATCCCAAATGTGTGTGCATAGCCCGACTTAATCTCCTCCGCTGTTTCAGATTGATGCTAAATATTTCAGTATTTTTGCCTGATCGTATTCTTGTGTTTGCTCATACAATTTACCATGACGACTCCCTTTATGACCTCTGCATTTACACTATGAATAACATTCCTTTGTAGTCATGCTGTGTATATATAACAAACACATGCAGCACACTTGTGATGATTTTTTTGTATATACCGATGAGAGCTCATTGAGACAGATGTCTCTTGCATTGCAATCGGTCATGGAGGTTATTTGGCCATGCTTTAGTATGCTGGTCAGTGTAATTAACAACCTGCATTTAGATCCATGCAAGAGCCCAGCGATAAAACAAGCCGGTTTTATTTTCAAGCGTACGCCTATGATTTGGCTCTTTCGAGACCACGATTGGTAGATCACACAAGTTCGTGAAACTCTAAAATCTTCTAGGCTAAGGGTATCCAGATGATGGCAGTGCAGAAAGTGGTTTCATGAAACCCATGTGTACTGACTTTTGAGTGTTAACCTATTATATGCATGCATTTTCTCTGGGTTCCCCTAAGCATGCACTCACTGAAATTGAATTTTGCCAAAGATCCCAATGGAGCTCTAGCTTGAATGTCTTATGATTAAGTTAGGCTTTCGTGTGTAAATAAATTACGTTATTGTTATTATGTGTGCACTGTGTTATGATCCCAGAGAACTGAGTTAAATTCTTGGCCTTGACTAACATCAGTGGCATGTGGTATCTGAACCAGTCCTGGGCTCCCCCTTTACTGACCCGCAATGACCATCGCGGTGAATTCTTGTCACACAAACCGCACGACGCGCACGGCTTAGAAGAGTCCTTCATCCAACAGCGGATAGGCAAAGGGCTGCAATTAAATACGAAGTTAATAAATATCAAGTTCGCAAAACTTGGCCGTGCAAAGTCTGCTCACGTGGTCGGATCTGATTACCGCTCGCCGCAGGTGGTTAACTACAACGGCTCGCGCACGGCAGAGGAGATCTGTGAGAGTTCCTCCAAGATGATCACCTTCATCGACCTGGCCGGCCACCACAAATACCTGCGCACCACCATCTTCGGCCTCACCAGCTACGCCCCCGACTTCGCCATGCTCGTGGTTGGCGCCAACACTGGTCTCGGTAAGCGACGGATGGATTACAGCTTTTCCCCGCCCATCTGTTGTAATTGCCTTGGTTACCCCCCCCCCCCCCTCGTTATTGGGCAGCTGCACGATTTCAGGTGTGCATTTTTAGATGCACGCTTTGAAGATGCGGGGAATTGTTGTTGCGGTCAATTCTCAATTGTCGGTGAAATGGGGTGGGTGGGATGATATAGTAATATTCACTGGAAGTTTGCCTAATTTGTGGAACTGCTCCGTTATATATATAAAAATTATGTTCTTGGTGTCATGCCATTCGGCGAAGAGAGTTATCTTTGGAATTATTGCACCGTGCAGTCATGGTGACCATTCTCAAACCACCAACTCACTGCACTTGAGAACCTGGTTTTAATCGCAAGTGGTTGCCTGTATCGAAACCCAAGATCTAATCAGTGCCAGCTCAACACTCTGACCTCTGAGCCACCCAGTCGCCTCCCTCCATAATGCTCTTTAATCTAATCTAAGGCGTGTTGCGTTGAAATGTGTTTGGCTGTGGCATTAAATCCATAAATACGGCAGCATCATTATCCAGAGTCCAATTGGGGTGACTTGCGTCTGCACTCAATGCACAGGCTAAATGTTATCTTGTCACTCCAGAGAACTAGCTTGGCATCTTCGTATCCACAAGCAGAAACAGATAATGGAGTTGTTAGTAAATTCTGAGCAACTTTAGAAGATGAAAAAGATTGTTGAGGTGACGTCCTGCAAAAACTTGACGTGCCAGAAGAGCTCTTTGTTCAGAAAGTAATTTTTTTCAAGAGTAAGTGGAATAAGTAAACGAAGTGAATAATTAACTTTATTTTGCAGTCGTTTGTGGGGAGGTGACGCAATAAAACTTTTAAAAGTGGATAGTGACGTTTTAAAATTAAAGTCATCTTGCACTTGTGAATGTTGTGGGGGGGGGGCCTCTCGGTTCCGTTGTGAGTATATATAATATGGTATTTGTGTCATGATAAAAGGCAGCTCATCACTTGATGGCCGTAATTGCTGACCCATGACTGATGCTTGTTCATCATGTCTTGTGAAAGTGTTCAAGGGTGCAGTCTCAAAATATATTTTTTCCTGTGCAATCCGGACTAAAAATAACCAGCAAAGAGGAAAAAAGTTGTTTATGAAAACATTTTTGAAAGTAAAATAATCTTTATCCCAATTGTATCCCAGGTGTTCTCTCTTGGTATGTCATGAGAAAAATAATCCCTTCAGATCTCTTGCAGAGTAGTGTAACTCTTCACGTTAGACAACACCCCACAAAAGCAGATATCACAGAGCTACCTCTGAGAAGTCACGAAGATAGAAAACAACAACAACAACTCACGACGTCTCGATTGCAACACAAGCGGTCGTCATGAGGGGGGGGGGGATCGAAACGTCTTGAGTTTTTATTTTTTTATTTTGTTGTTTTCTATCTACGTGACTTTACCGAAAGAACCAAAGTATATAAATTCCTGCAGTCACTAAAGTTTTAAATCAAAATTCTACCTCTGAGATCCCTTCAAGTGACCTCTGGTCCACAGTTACGGGGGGGGGGGGGGGGCGGAGGACAGCACGTTCCCGCTTGCCCTGCCACCACGAGTAATGTTTGTTCCGTGACAGACAAGCTGGTATTTAAAATTCTCAAACTCTCTGGAAGTTGAGTGGAAGAAGCAATGTTTATGTGATGGCCTTTTTTGTGCGGTCATTGAAGACCAGGCTGAGATCATTAACTCATTTCACCTCCGAATCGTGTTAGGTCACGGGCAGCTGAAACTCAGATTTAATCCTAGGATCTCATTGGTTGCCAACTCTGCATTCTGATCTGTGAGCCACCCGGCGACCTCTGCTGAGAAAATTCTCATCATCCATGGGAATATTCTCACTGCGTTTGCTGGGATAATGCGTGCTGGGGTTGTGCAATTGGCAGTCAGGCTGCAAGTGTTATGGTTAAGCTGAACAGGCACTCTGTGCCCCCCCCCCATAGGGATTTTGTTTTTGCCAAGCACCCCCCTCACTCGATTGTGTAAGGGGATGTTTTGAAGCCCGATTCGCCTGCTGAAGTCTGGAAAAGTGAAGCCCGGTTATTAATAAACGTCCCGAGCACCATGTACAGGTCAGCCGAACAAGGTGAGGTGTCGAGTTGGGGGTTATGGCTTTGTGTTTATGCTTGCTTGTGACTGATAAGGTTTCTGTTCGCCTCTGTTGAGTGGTGTTGCCGAGTGGGGGGAAGCAGGAGTGTAGCGGGTGGGTAGCGTGCTGCACTACGGACCCAGCAACCCGAGTTAAATTTCTGCTCATGGCCAACACCGGTGACGATTATCTGAACCAGTCTTGGATCTCCCCTAGGTCGACTCGGCCTCAAATGAGTACCTGGTGCGATGTTTAAACATTGCCACTAGGGAGACAGACGTATGGACATGGTCCTGGCCACCTATCCTTCTTCGTGTGCCATGACGACCTTCATAGCTGCTCGCAAACAGCACTTTCCGCAAAAGGGTGCTTTGTTTTTAGCGCTGAGTGTAGTGTTGTTGCCGAGTGTCAAATGTGTGTGATGTACCAGTGACTTGAGGTGCGGCCAATAGCTGCTTATTCAATTGGAAGGTGGTTGATGTTGATTCTGTATGAAATGTTTGATGTTTTTGAGTGGTCCTAACTTTTATTTTGCTTTGGGTTGCATGAATCCATTGCCAAGGTGCAATTTCTTTTTGTTCAGCAAAGTATCGCTGACCTTTTCCTGAAAACAAATTACAAAACAGGAAGGTACCTGTTTTTGTGTGCTTCAGTGTTGCCATTTGGGGGTTATTTGCTCAGCACCTAAGCCCTGTGACAAACCTGTTTGTGTTTGATGGTCTGAAATCCACCTACAGTACTGTAATAAAATAATAAAAATAGTAACTTGGCATAAAAATACAACACATTTGCTTGGAATGTGTCACTGCTATTTTTGAAAGAGATTGATGCCCTCTATTTAACTTAGTGAGGTAATCATTGTCAGTTTATTATTTATTTAGAAAAAATTGGGTGACGAGAGCAGGCCGCGGTTGCCTAACTGAAATGCCAAAGGGTCTTTGCTCTTAAGTGTACACTTTAATATCGGACTGTGACCTTAGATATGTTTCTGATAGGTTTGGCAGTGTAACCGCCAAAATTTAACAGCAGGACTTCATTTAAACAATCCGAGAGGCAATATAGTTAAAATACATTCACAAAAGGTGAGTCAAGGGTCAGAGAGAGGACTGAGCTGGTACTTTTGAGATCCTGGGTTACAATCTGGGCAGCCACCTATCATAAAACTTGGCTGTCAAGTGTAGTGAGATGTTGGTCTGGTAACCAATAACCACAAAGACAACGTTCCCCCTCATAGCCTTTAACAGACTGTAGGAGCAAGTGCTATTCGTGAGCACTTATAACCAGAACCACACACGAACATTGCTTTGGGTTTCCACTTAATTTCCTTTAATCCAGCTCTGATACTTCTCGTGTAATATCAATCGGCAACCTCTTTTATTTTTTTTACTTTTACATTTTATGAAAAATTAACCACAATACCTTGCTGATCTTGTCAAGGAGCATGAACCATCACTCGAACTCCTGTCATCCTCACAGCAGCGGCTTTTGTCTAGCCATCGAACAAAGACTGTGACCGCATCGCACGCTTTCAGGGGCTCTACTGCGGCCGTCTGGAACGCTCTTCCTTCCGATATTAGGAAAAACCACTAGAGCTATGCACTTTTTTTAAACTCATTTCTGCTTTTTGTGTTTAGTTTCTTGTCCTTCCCCCGCACCTCCGTTTAGCGCGGTTGGCTACGTACGGTGCGAAAGACGTTTAACGTCCGTTCTGTTCTCGTTGTCAGTTGGGACGGCCAAGGAGCATCTGGGGCTGGCGATGGCGCTCAAGGTGCCGTTCTTCATCGTGGTGAGCAAGGTGGACGTGTGCTCGCCCGGCACGGTGGAGCGCACCGTGCGTCAGCTCGAGCGCTTGCTGCGCAGCCCCAGCTGCAGCAAAGTACCGCTACTCGTGTGCGGCCCTGATGACGCCATGACCGCCGCCACCAAGTTCCCACAGTGCAGCAGGTGGGCGGGGGGGGGGCTGTCTCTTCTTACGTCTTTGTATAAGTTGCTCCTCGTCATCCTCGTTCATTTATCAATTTTGTGGGTTAAGGTCTTGCCACTCTAAAATTTAACTAAAAACTATGATAATTTTTTTGCCAGGTTAGGCCCACTGAGCTATATAGCTCTTTTTCAGAAGCGACCAGGCTTCTATACAGCTCGACGAAGTGGTTCATCACGTGGAAATTTATAGCAGCCAAATACTCTTTAAGTGCACGTTTCTAAATGTGGAGGGAAAAACCGGAGGACCCGGAGAAAAATCCACATGACCACAGGGAGAACATGCAAACTCCAAATATAAAGCAGGCATGAGGGTCGGGATCGAACCCACAACCTCCTACATACCAGACGAGGGATTTCACATCTCGCCACCGCAGCGCCACTTCCTCGCCCATTCCTCACGGTCCTGCGATGCCACTTTCCATCTTGCAACAGCACGTTTGTTTCCGTGTCTTCTCTAGTATAACACCGATCTTCACCGTGTCCAACGTGACTGGGAAGAACTTGGACCTCTTGAAAACCTTCCTCAACGTGCTCCCGCCTCAGAGCAACGTGCAAGAGCAGGAGCAACTAATGCAGCAGCTCGCCGAGTTTCAGGTAAGCATCTCACCGCTGCTAACCACCACCATTGACGCTGCGATTCACCTGATGCGCGTGGTTATCTGTAAATCTAGCCTGAGGTAAAGCTTCCCCTCTTTAATTGTTGAGTACTCATTTCTGATGGTAATTTTGAATTATCCGCAATGGAGTCGATGTAATAGTGAAAAAATACGAAGTTACCAAATTTCTGGGAGGCTCAACTAGGACACGTTATGAGCTGCCAAGCCCTCCCTCAGCCCCGCCCACTTTTACTTAGCCACACCCACCTCGGTATCCCCACCCACACAGTGTGGCCCCTCTTTCGGATGCTGGCCTCACAGCCTATTCATTGGCTCTACCTACTGCTCTGCCAATTCCACCCACTACTTGTGTAGTGACTTAACTCGGAAACGCTAAGACTTGGAGGCACTTATTTTATTTAACGAGCACCCTCGGCACAATACACACCCTACGCTGGTACACGATCTCCTGTCGCTAGCCTATACACAACGCTACGTGGGTACACACTATTTAGTGTTGCTAGCCTATACACAACGCTAGCCGTCTGACACTGACGGCGCTGAAACGAGACAGACAACTAGCGTCTAGCAGCGCAATGTCGAGTGAAGACGACAGCGACGATGGCGACGATCTTCAACAGCACGACGGGGATCCCACTCCATACGACAGCCCCGAGCTCTCGCTCAGGACCCCCCTTGTATGCTCCCAGCGTGGCCTCGCTCCGCCCAGGCCACGCCCCCTCTCTAGAACCTACCAGCGGCTTCCCGGGCTTCCCCCCACGTTCCCCTTCTGTAACCTTTCCCCCAGACATCCCCTCTGGTCTATCACGTGGCCTGCTGACGTCAGGGCTGCTGTAAGCCACAGTTCCCCTTCCCCACCAGCAGCCAGCGCTCTGCTGCTACATTACTTATTCTATGCCACTACACTTTCATAGCTCCATCCTTTTCTGGTATATGAGTCTAGCGAGAAGCCAGAACATTTTCTTTAACCCGTATAAAATCGTAAATCTTGCGAATGCTTCAAGACACTGGAACAGGCCATCTGAAATGGGGACTGTCATGGCCAATGCAGAGAATGGCATTGGTCATATCTGGTGCCGGCTTTGAGCCAGTTCTACAACTTCCACATTTCTATGGAGAGTGCTAGTTTCTTCAGAGGAAGACTTGGAACAAATGAAAGTGCGTTTATGCAAAATTCTCAGGATTATCTGGTAATAACATTGATTACATTTCTTAAAATAAAGTATGCTTGCTTATGCACACGTTGCCTATGTTATGACTGGCACAGGTGGATGAGATCTACACGGTACCTGAAGTGGGCACAGTGGTCGGAGGAACGTTATACAGGTGAGAATGTTACGCAAGTGGAATTCTCATTGCGGATCTAACAGTCCATGTCTGAAATAATGAAACGTGCCAACGCTTTAAAATATTTGATACATTTTTCCGCAAGACTGGTTAAGCCACAACCGCGGTAATGTGCATAACCGAAGCGCCGATTGTAGCCGATTGCTTTATGAAGTCACACTTGTACTTGGTCCTCCTGCATCTACGTGGGAGGTTGGGACCTTGAACGATCTGCGGTGTCCTCTCCTCCGCGCAGTGGCGTGTGCCGGGAGGGCGATGGCTTCGTGGTGGGGCCCACGGAACGTGGCGAGTTCCTACCGGTCGCCGTCGCCACCATACAGAGGAACCGCGCGCCGAGCCGTGTGCTGCGCGCCGGCCAGGCCGCCACGCTCGCGCTGGGCCCCTTCGACCGCTACCTCCTGCGCAAGGTGAGCGCGGTGTCCACCAGGCGGCTTGCCAGGTAACCGAGGACACACTCAGGGCGCGCAGTCGAGAGGGTCAAATTGGGGACGAGCAGGTGTGCGCGTTGCGGCACGAGGTTGGCGCCGGAGAGGCGGGAGATGGGGGCGGTGATTAGGGATTAATGAGCGCAAGAGGCGCCGTAGAGGCGACAGCTTAAGTGGGGAGCACGTGAGGTATATAAGCGGGAGTGCGCGTGAGTAAAGTGAGTTTTTTCGCGGACCAAGAGAGAAGACATCTCGCCGCTGCCACTCGGGCTGTCAACGGGACCTCGCCCCTCACGCCGTCGCCGGGCGGGTGTTGGCTGAACCGCCCGCCCGGGACAGACGGGTGAGTGGGTGGTACGGGGCGGTGTAGGAAAGGGCAGAGGGCAGCGGCGAGATAGGAGAGAGTAGGTGAGGTGCGGGGTAGATGAGAGTGGGTAGTAGGAGAAGCAGAGTGTGTGGTGACAGTGAAAGGCAGTCATAGGTGTGCCTACAACGGGTGTGAGAGTAGGATTAATAAAGTGTAAGCAGGAGACCTGTTACTCCCCGTCAGTGAGAGTAATTTCATACACTACATGATTACTCTACTAAAGAAAAAACGGTTGGACTGGGGGTGACGCCATCTGCTTCAGCCGTGTCATGCTGGGCATTGCTTCGCCAATGGTCCACGTGATGTTTAGTAAAGTCAACATTCCGTTGCGTACCTAACTGTTACTCCTCACTGCTGTCCGTGGTCTGCCCCCCCCCCCCCCCCCCAAAAGGGCATGGTGCTGGTGAGCCCCAAAATGTGCCCCACCGTGTGCTGGGCGTTCGATGCCGAGATCGTGCTGTTGTTCCACGCCAAGACGGTGCGGCAGGGCTTCCAGGTGACGGTGCACGTGAGCAACGTGCGGCAGACCGCAATCGTGGAGGACATCCTCGACAAGGTGAGCGGGGCGGGGGTCCGTGTTTGTCGGGACCAAAAGCGAAACGGTGTCAACAGTGGCTGGCTGCAGGAGCCGAGTGGCTAGGCCCAGGGCTGTTAGAAACCTACGCGTACAAAAGCCGAGCCAAAAAATGTACAAGTCAAGTTAGCCTTCTTCTTGAGATATAAATCTTGTTTCTCGTTAGCCACGTGCCATTAGCTTGTCCGTATCCACCTTCGTGTGCCCGCAGTCGGTTAGAGTGATAATCTCATGACTATGGACTTGGTGATGATCTGTTTATTATTACTTGATGTCCCATAATGAAGCAAATTTAATTCAAAAGGCAATTTAATTTCGCAATGCAATTTTGATGCATTCGATGCAATTGGTGTAAAATAATAATGAAATATCCAGGAAAACTTCATGGAGTCTCAAGATCAAAGTTTATTTTTTTGCGATACTGCATGAGCAGTGGAGCATGAGCACAAATAACAACATTCGTCAATAACACTGCCCTGAAAGGACAAACGTACAATAGGCTACATGTTAGGAAATGGCCCTTCTACATCGTACAAAACGCCTTTTTCCAGAGGGTCCTGCATTGGCATGTTTGGCCAGTTCTGTCGTCGTTGCCGAGGCCTTTTGAGTCAAAAACTCGAATAAGTTCCGACGGCCGTGACTGCTTGCAGGAGAACGTGCGGACAGGCGAGAAAGCCGTGGTGACGCTGCGCTTCATCAAGCAGCCCGAGTACATCCGCCTGGGCGCCAAGCTGCTCATCCGCGAGGGCGCCACCCGAGGCATGGGTCACGTGACCAAGCTGCACTCGCTGCCGGCCTCTCCGTCGTCCGACGACAGTTCCTCGTGAAAGCAGGGAGCCGAGGATGAAGTAAGAGAAGAGACTGCTGTCGATTCTCCCTTTCGGCAAAGTAGAGGTTACCTTTTGATTGAAAGCTTTCGTGACTGCAGGGATTCATATTCTTGGTTCTTTCGGTAAAGTCACGTAGAAGGGAAACAATAAAATAATAAAAATATATAACAGTAAAATTCTCAAGACGTTTCGACTGCAACACAAGCAATCATCATCAGTCGAAACGTCGTGAAAATGTTTTTGTTTTATATTTTTATTATTTTATTTGTTCCCTTCTACGTGACTTTACCGAAAGAACCATGAATAAGAGGTTACCTTATGAACGTGCGGTTCCCTGGTGCTGCAGGCTTCAGCCGGATACGGTGAAGATATTTTAAAACACAATGCTAGTTTTATTCTCCTTGTATTTTAACCCGAGACGCATTCTTCTTAAACGCCACACACACAGAGTTTTCACCATATATGCAGTGATCTCCATCAGCAAAGACAAATCGTTTTTTTTCTTTTTACAGTATATGCATGTGCAGATGTCACGAGGTAAACATCTCCTTGTTTAACAGTGGAGCACAATATAGTCACGAACAGCAAGGTTGCAGTTTGTTGTAGAATAACATAACGGGACTTCCACGGTAGAGCGCTTGGAGTTTGTCAATGCAGCGCTCTTTCCGAGATGGGAGCTCAGTCAGGTTAAAGGTCATAGGGCACGTGCTCATGACATAGGAGTGTTCCACAGTTGGTCACAGGAAGCAGGGCTTGCCCTGAACTGAACCCACGAGGCCACACTCACATTGTACCCTGTGCTCACGAAGTAGCAGACTTAACTCAGGCTTCTAGCTCACCGTTGATCCAGCAAGATAAGTCACAGGCTCACTCAGGCTTTTTTTAGCTCGCCTCGATTCAACAAGGAGTATTTTATTGTTCTCACTCCAGTGTTATTGAAACACTTGTGCATGCACATTTCTCAACCCCTTCGAGGCACGAGTTTCGGCTTCCTTCTGATTTGCGCAACGGCCAGTCCCAGGATTTGGTGGGGTTTATTCGCCATGGGACCATGTCTGCATTGGTCACGTGGCTTTTAAGTTGCTTGTGCTGGCACGACCAGATAAGTGTGTCCTCGAAATAATGTGAGAGGATAAACCTTGTCCTGCATATAACTGTGGGTCTTTTGGGGCGGGACCCCAAAAAATAACAAGACATTCGCATTTGTGAAGTTTACAAATTGAACGGCGTGCAAAGCAATGCTTACTTTTTGCCATCCGCGTCTCCACTTTGCACATAAATGTCAAGTGCCAATCATTCGGTCACTGCTGTAGAGTACTGCACTGCACTTATGATCCAAATAAGATAAATTTTTAAATGTTAAGTGACTTTAAACCCATTACAAATTTTTATGCAATTATATGCATGCTTGAGCACTTGAGCAGGAAAAGAAGCTTCCAATTGATCAGCTGCCGTCTTCTTAGAAATAATTGAGTTATGTGAGTAAAACTTAATAGATCGGTGTGTACCTACTCCCGAATTAGCTCTGGTATTTCGAGGACAATGCTGTCTGCCTCGCAAAAACTTATCGCTGGCTCACTCGTCGTTTTGCCAGTCTGGTTGGAGTAGCCGAACTCTTCCTTCATACGGGCGTACCGCTGTGGAGTTTCAATATTTATTTGAGTTTGTGTGTTGACCTTACAATGTATGCTGCAATCAGTGCAATTACCACCTTTGTTATCTGCTGTGTGCTTCTAATTAACATCTGATGAGGACAGTGCACTGTTGGTGCTATTGGCAGTGTGATATATTTAAGAAACGACTGTTGACCTTATCTGCCTTGATGCCAAGACAGGAGCAATTGTCTTCATGGGTTTTTTTATCAGCAACATAGGTAGATTTTACAATATAATTCTGGTATTTATGGATAAGTTAAAAGATACGTTACCCTCGTAACTGCTCATTTTATACTCCAGCACTGTTTTTAATTTCATCAGCATGATTTTACGTTCTGTTTGAAGCATACGCTGTTTGTTTTACAGGATAAACATAATTTTACAGGTTAAACAATTATATCTGTGCACCTGTATATATGTGTATATATTTGTGTGTGTATATCTATGTGTATGTAAGAGATATGCATTATACATGTCTTGTATGCATATTGGTGCATACATGTATGTTATATGCAGTCTCCGTGATACTGACGTGAAATATCATACGCCAAGCACACGCACAAGGTATCTTTGATCTTCATTACACCGACCCCGGTACTACTTGCGTAGCTTTTCGTGGCCGTACTGTAGAGCTCTTCGATGTTTTGTTTGGGGTTGTACCGCGGCTCGTGTGGTGCGGTGGCAAACGGATTCCTGTAAAAAGCTTCCGGGCACGTGCATCGGAACGTCTGATGTCGTCCTGAACGATGCGCACTACAACCCAATAACACATCGGCGAGCTTGATGACACTCGTCGTCGGCTGTGGCAGGTGCCAGTTGCTCATCGCTAAACAGGGGGACTTTACCACATGCCTGCCCTTCTGTTCTGCATGCCCTGTGCCTGCCATGCCCCGCTCGAGGCTGAGGTAAACTAGGAAAATCTTCATCGCACTTGCAACATTGCTCGAGGTAAATGGTGCCTTTTGGCATTCACTGCTGCATCATTTTAACGATAAAGTTTGTAGTCCACCCAAGAAAGGATGTGGACTTAAATAAGTTTTACAACTTTATACAATGCATTTTAATGCAGTAAAGGTCTTGACCGTCGTGGTTTTTTTAGCATGCCAAATACTTCCTGTTCAAACTTCGCAATATTGTACCCATTGTTAAACAGGTTGCGGTGTTGTTAATTATTAAGTACTGTATGGACTGGCACCAATCTCGGATAAAGGCCCTTTTCCTTCTTCACATCCGTTGAGATAAAGCGATGCAGGTTTTATGGAAAATGAATTTCAGGATAAAAAAAAAAATGCTCCCAAAAAATGCTCTTAAGATAGAAATTGGATTGACAGTCACCGTGTAGAAGGTTAAAGAAAATCGGGGGGTGGTGGCAGAATTCTTTTTATAATCGTTGGAAAGGAACACCACCAAGACGCTCGTTAAATAGACTTCACAGACGTCCACCCACCAGGCTGCCGGCTGTGACAGACTCCACGTTAAACTTCCGGCTGTGCCGTCCATCTGCGATGTGCACACGGGATTCGAAATACTTCCAACGTGTCAACGTTACCCAGTTTTATTTAAACATTCATAGCACTTAGCAAGCGTGCATCATAAGTTTAGTTGTTTGTTATTGTAATGCTCGTGTGCAACATTACGAGGTTTATGTACTAGTCTGGCAAAGCACTTTTGGTCGATTTAGTTTTGTTATTTTTAAACGTCCAATGATATCGACGTCCCAGATTTTATTCTTGCGCTTGAGCGTTCGAACTCACCCCTCGGCTGTTGTCGTCGTAAGTCGCATGTGCATGTGGTCCTGTTAAGCGGATTAACGCACGATGGAGAAAGAATCCTAGCTAAACTTCATGGAAATATAAAGGGGCAAATCTGAATGGACGGGCTGCAAAATATTCAATGTTTGAAACGTCTAATGGAGTTGCTGCCATTCACTTTTTAATTTCTACTATTGGTAGCATTGATGTTTAACAGAATCGTCATCTTTATTTATCCTGGAGGAATTAGATGAGATATGAAGCTCTTTTTCACAAAATCCTTTGATATTCATAATAGCTGTTAATAATTATCTCATAACTAACTCTGGCTCCAGGGTGTACTTTTAAAGGTCATTTTACAAGATTTGGCTTATTTATGGAGCAAATCTGATTTTACACACACTCTACTGAACGCATCGCCACCATCCCAGCATGGGTTAAAATTCCAGTTCCGTTAGTGTTACGTCATGGTATTTGGAGCATTTGTCTGCGTCTCAATGTGGATAAATTATTTCAAACTGAATTATCCTAAGTAAAGAGTCCACTTTATGATTACACTGATCACCTACATCTTTTAAAGTGTATAGAAATATACGAAAGTGAATGGCGGGTCACCTTCGTGGATAACACGACCTTAAAATTTTGCAGTGCTGTCGTGTATTGCAAGGTTTCCAACGATCCCCGTCGCCCTCCTATTTGGGGCCTAAACGTCCGTGACGTTTTCACTCGATGCCGAACGGCGAGTCTGAAAATCGGTCGGCGTTTTGCCCACTTTGCGAGCAATCGGTCTCTTGCTCGAGCCGAGCACGTGCAGCATGGGGCGCTGGTGAGTTTGTGTAGCTCTTTGTGCTGTCCGCCGTGATCGATACCGCGTCCGGCGTCCGTGCGTGCCCCGTTCCTAGGGTCTCGTGCGCAAACCCCGGTGGGCTCGTCCATCCTGTTTGGTCGTTCCGTATGCTTCGTTTTAAGAAAATATATAACTACGGTATATTTTTTTCGGTTTTTGTTAACTGTACATTTTGTAAAAACAAAAGAATATTAAATTGCTTAGATTTAAACTATATTCCGTGTCACGTGTGGCTTGTTTGAGATGTTTCCAAAATTTAAGGAGCAAACTGAAGAAACGAATGCATTCAAAGTGTTCTGATGAGGTGGAGGAGGCAGCATGGGGGACACTGAATGGCCTGGAAGAGAAGTCCTTTCTCCAAGGAATTGAAAAGTGCCAGGAATTACATGAAAAGTGAATTTTTAATTTCAAGCTTTCGTGACTGCAGTAATTCATATTCTTAGCTCTTTCGGTAAAGTCACGTTGAAGGGAAACAATAAAATAATAAATATATTTATTATAAATATATTTATAATAATAAATATATATTTTATTGTTTCCCTTCAACGTGACTTCACCGAAAGAGCTAAGAATATGAAAAGTGCATTGTTAAAAAGGGCGATTATGTAGAAAAATGTGGTTTTAATGCATTTTTAGAAGTTACTCAAATTTTGTACCACCCTTGGGAAACCAAAAGTTAAATTATTGTTTAAGCAGTTGGGTTAAGTTTTTTAAAATATACAATGTAAGTGCTGGGATCAGAGTTTAAGATGGATATGTTAAACGGACGATTAAGTGCTCTTTCAGGGTTACTATCCCATATGCAGACCTCACAAGTACACATAATTGCCTGCACCAACCACCTGTACACAAAGCCATTCATTACACACCAACCACAGCACGATTTTGCCACTCGTCCATTTGTGGTGTGAATACACGCAGTGCCACGATTTTAAAATCATACAAAATGCTCTTTTTTCACAGCATTTAAGAAAAGCAGTATACACATTAAAGTGGCTGGTATGCAACTTGTGCAAATGGTGATCAAAAAACGTACATTTTCCAATGCTACCGATTTAAGCGTTAGGCTGCGGCCTTTTTAAACCCTTCTCCACTGCATATTGATTTTGACAGGTGTCTTTAAAAAAAAGTCAAAATGGTTTAAAGCAGAACAGTAAGGTTTGGAAATTGGTATGTGGTAAAAAAAATGTTTAAAAAATCCTAAGCTTACATTTAACAGATTTAAGCCTACCGCTTAAATCCAGCACAGTTTGGAAAGTGTAACTGCTCTACCCAGGAGACTTCTTGAAGAAGGCATCCAATGTGCCAAAGTTTCCCGAGGTCCTCTGCCGTTTGGCGGCAGGGTTTTCGCCCGTCTTTTTTCTGGTGACCTTGCCACGCTGGGAGTGTTTTGGTGGTGGTGGCGCCGGCGACAGGTGTTGGCCATGCGGGACGATCGGTGACGCAGCAGAGAAGGAGTCCTGCAGGTTGCGGGCGAAGTGGTAATCCGTGTGCTCGGGCATTTCCCACACCAGCACGCGCGCGTTGCACTTCTCGCACAGCACGTAGTCCTCGGAGGTGCTCCAGGATGCTGAACCCCCCTCTGGGTCCTGAGAAGTGGATCGATCCATCCTTCTGCTGCTGCTTCCGAAACCTCCGTCGTCACCTGCCAGCGCAGCAAAACCGCACTCATCTTCATTTTTATTCAAAAACTCAAATCCTCCATCATTGCCTTCTTTGTTGGCGGCAGAGGCTGTTTTCCCGTGTTCTTTCTCACACTCAACCTGATTGACAGCTTCTGAGGCTGCTTTGCTGCTGTCATGCATTTCTTGATTGGGGTCTGCAGATCCTGCAGTGATGTCCTTGGCCTGGGTGCCGAGTGACTTTCCGACCGCTGCGTCACAAGGATGTTCAGCCACGAAACTCGACTCCGCTGTTGTTGTGGTTTCTGCCGTTGTGGCACCGAGCGCCCTCCGCTGGAAGAACGAGGAGATGACATTCTGGGGGCTCCGAGCCGGCAAACGAGTTTGTGGTTCAGGGCAACTGCCCTCGATCGACTTTGTAGGAAGGTCACAGGTCAACGCATGCACCGGAGTCTCGCTCCCGGCTCTGAGGCCGTCTAATCGAGAGGCCGTTCTCCTGAAGAAGGCGAGAATACCCGGCTTGTCCGTCGCCGCCGGGCTCCAACCGTTACGTTGGCCCTCGGGTGTGGCCGAGGGGGGTGGAGGAAGAGGTTTCTGCGTGGGGGGCGCGAGGCTCTGGGTGGCCGAGGCGTCGCCCGTCAGGAAGCTGGCGATTCCCCCGGAACTTGATGCAGAATCGGAGAACTTGGTGGCAGAGAGGTACAGGCAGGTGACAGCTGGAGACCTGGAGGGTGCAGGTGGATGTGGGTGGATTAATTTAAAGAATGGCTGAAGACGAAATAACGCAGGATAATGGAATAATTCAATAGAGAAAGCTGCAGAGCTGCATTTAAGATAAATAGGAGCAATGCGAAAAATACAAGTTTGATAAACCTTAACATAATTTTCGATTTAAAGCTTTCGTGACTGCAATGATTCATCTTCTTTGGTTCTTTCGGTAAAGTCACGTAGAATGAGAATAAAATAATAAATTGATAAAATAAAATAACACAATAATATTCTCACGACGTTTCGGCCACAACACCTGATGAAGGCCGCTTGTGTTGTGGCCGAAACGTCGTGAGAATATTGTGTTATTTTATTTTATCAATTTATTATTTTATTCTCATTCTACGTGACTTTACCGAAAGAACTTAACATAATTGTCAAGGGACACAGATTTGAAGTTGCGCACAGTCTACTCCACTCACACAGTCTACTCCACTCACACACTGCCTCTCACCAACTCACCCGGAATGCACCCAATCCTGTCGGATCCCACAAGCTTTGGAGAATTGAGCCTGGATAGCGGCTAGAATGCTGACCACCGTGCACGACGGCCTGATAGGCTGCAGTGCTGTGTGGTAGGCAGCAGAGGGCGGTCCAGCAAAATCCCATTGTCCCACAACACTATACCCCCACATCTCTGCTCTCTGCCTTCAGATAAAAGTCTTCTTACTCCGGAGGGGGGGGGGGGGGTCAAGATACTTTCTCACACTGGGCTCACCACTCCGCGTGCTGAGCACCGGCCGTGTTGGAGGCGGCGATGAGCGCGAGGGCGTCGCTGGCGATGCGCCGTGCGTCGTAGCGCGCCAGGGGACAGGAGCGCGACAGGCCCCAGTAGCGCTGGTCCCCGCTCAGCCGCACGCCCGCTGTCAGCAGCTTGGCCACGCGATTGTTCTGCCGCGCACGACAAGCTCGCAGCTTCACGATCCACACGCATGCAGGTGTCGAGCTGGGACGACCGGTTTATTAAACCCATTAATCGATAAAAGAACTGCGGTTAAATATTTTGTTGTGATCGATTAATCAGGCCCCTGTTTTAAATGGAGGTTGCCTCTCACATCCTACCTTACAAAATGTGGGAACCCCCCCCCAACCCCCCCGCCGCAAGCTAAGTCATGTGCGACAGAGCTGACAATGTCCGCAAACCTCGCCAATTCACCTCTCGTCCAGCAGCACACATGGGAGCAGGCGAGAATTTTTTTCGAAAATGTTGTTTTTGTTATCCAACCAGGTAAGTAATCGATTACTTGACCAATCAGATAGCCCAGCTCTAGGAAGGAGCGTTTGTTTGTGTCACCTTCGGGCATGGGATCGACTTTCCAGAGACCACGGGGGGGGAACTAAATTGTTGCACTGCGTTCAATGTAAACAGTAGAATTTACACGAGCAGACCATTTATAATATAGCCAAATCACCCATGTTGTGCCGCATCTCACCAGATCTCGAAAACTAATCAGAATTGAGCCTGGATAGCGCTTGAATAAGCGACCACCTTGCACAACACAGGCTCCATTATTGGCTGCTGTGGGGCTGTTACACGTCTCTATTGCCCACCTTCACTAACCAGCACTCACCAGTATGGTGAAGTATGGTCAAATAACCCCAGAGACCAGCTTGTTGTGGGGAGGCCCTCATCAAGCGGTGACTAGATGATGGTAAAACAGGAAGGGGGTGTTTAGAACCCAGCTCTCTCACCATGTCTCTGTCCTTACTCAGTCTCTCCTCCAGCTCCAATGACAGCTGCTGCAGCCAGTGCTGCACCTGAGGGTCGTTCCAACAACAGAGAAACATTTTTTTTTTATTTTAAGGTTCCCACCCCCCTCCAGATGTGTTATCGGTGTTGTGTCAGGAGACAGTTTCCCATTCGCGCCTTCTGCAGAGCAGTGCAACCCTCCGCCGTTGGAGAATGGCCCAGGGAAGCGGATATGACAGAGCTACCCCAAGGTCTCTTCAATTGACCCTCTGGTAAATACAGCAGGAGGCAGCACATTCCAATCCACGCGATAGAGAAGCAAAGTTACTTGACGATCAAACCGATTGTTAATTCTCAGAGATGGAATGTAGCCAAGTTAAGTGCAAAACCAAAATAAATAAAAATGTTGATGCAGTCATCAGTGACTGGGCTGAGACCATAAATTCACTACACTAAAGAACCTCGTTTAATCACAACTCTGAGTAAGGGCAGCTGTCCAGATTGGTACTCAGGATGTAATCTGTGCCAGCCCAGCACTCTTGACCTTTGAGCCCCCCACCCAGCTGCCTCCCTCTTTAAAGGCACGTTGCGTTAATATGTTTGACGATGTTTCTCTCCACAATGACATCAGCATCGTTATCCAGAGGCCAACCGGGGTGGCCGGTGCACTGAAAATACAAAGGGTAAAAAGTTATCTTGCCACTCCAGAGAAATTGGCATTTTCAAATCTACAATAAGTGTTGAAGTGACACACTTCGGGGGCAGTTCTGCACGTAAAAAAAAAAAGCTAAATTTGAGGTGTCCAGCACCTGGATTCAAACCCAGGGTCTCAGTGGTGCCAGCTGTGACCTTTGAGCCACCAGCCACCTACATTTTTGGTCTAGCAGGGAGCCATCGCTCCACCTAAACCCGCGACCTTGACGAAGAAGCTGTTGCCGGTCCTTGGGGGTCAGAGTCCGCTGCCGCATAGCGCAGAGCATTGGGAGGAATGAACACGGGTAAGCGCGCACGAGGGGACACCGATCTATGCAGCCAGATCACCCAAACGTGCCCTGGCGATCAATGGATGGCGAGGTGTCACTACCAAATCACCTGGCGCATCCGCCACCTACATTTTGAAAACTACGGCCACGTCATTTTCTCGCGGGCGGGCGGGCAGGCAAGTGGACACCGGCATATGATAAATGTGTTTGGTCACGTGTGGCGATGCACGACAGGGCCCGCCGCCTTGCCTTCTCCTTCGTGTCCAGAGCCTCCCGGCCCATGAAGTTCTTGCTGCAGCCGATGGACTTGGGCAGCTGCCTGGGCCGCACAGGCTCGAATTCCACGCCTCGGCACAGGTCGTGCAGCCACGAGCTGCACTCATAAGAGACAAAGTTCAGGTTGCGCCATGTGGCCCTTCGACAGGCGGTTGGTGCAGAGTGCTATTTGGCAAGCGTTTCACGTGGCTGGCATGCCACAGTGCACTATGGGGTGGGGGTGTGGCAAGCACCATGCCCAACAACCTTTGTCATCCCGCTGGTGATGTTTATACATTGCACCAGTTACTCATGTTAAGGTAGTCTACCTAGGGGAGATCCCAGAACCAGTCCTGTTACGACTCCAGACTGACGTTAGCCACGGCAAGGAATCGGATTCAGGTAGCAAGGTTCGCAGCACGGTGCGCTAACCACTGTGCCAGCGGTCTCAAAAACACGTGCACCATGTCCTCAACATGACGTTTACGCAGGTGTAAGAGCTTTCCCTATTCTCTCCCCTGCGCCCTAACAGCTACCCCATGTACAAAACTCCCACGCCATACATAGCAATAATTATTAAGCCTTAATTACTACCAGGTGGGAGTGCTCCGAGACAACAAGGAGCTCATTCATGCGTTAGCGGAAAGGCATTTTCCAACAATATTTGTCTTTAAAAAAATAGTTATACTTAATGCCAAGTTTCCGCCGACACATGCATCAGCTCTCGCACGGCTCTCTTTTTTTTGTAATGCAGACCTCGGGGAGGCGAAAGGGAAATAAAGGTGCTGGTTGAAGAGCGTACAATGTGTACCAAATAAAATAAAAATATAACGTGCATTCAAAAACTACATCGTAATGTCATGGAAAATATTTCAGTACTACGCAGGCTTTGCGTGGTTGCGCTGCATGGCTTCTCCGATGTGTTGTCTGGTTGTGCCGGGTGTTGTTCGGCACAATGTCCGACGTTTCATGGCACGATGTCCGGCGTGTGAAGAGAAACGTCGGACATCGTGGAGAACAACACACGGTAAAATCCAAAAACGATTCGGAGAGGGATATTATCTTTACCGAGAGCATCCTTGCGTTCATGATACATGTACCTAATTGCGTTCCACTTTTTGACATACACATTTGCAAGAGGCCCTTACAATGACAAAAGTGATTGAATGCATTAAAATTAGAAACATGGCATTACCATATTCTTAGCTCTTTCGGTAAAGTCAAGTTGAAGGGAAACAATAAAATAATAAAATATATATAAAACAATAAAAATACTCACGACGTTTCGACCATAACACAAACGGTCGTAATCAGGTGTGAAAAAACCAACGGCAAGAAACATTTGAAAGAAGTGGCGGTTTGCATTTATTTATTTGTTTTTAAACGTTTTTTTAATATAAATAAATACAAACACCGTTTAAAAATAAATAAATGCAAACCACCACTTCTTTCAAATGTTTCTTGCCGTTGGTTTTTCACACCTGATGACGACCGTTTGTGTTGCGGTCGAAACGTGAGAATTTTTTTTATTGTTTTATATATATTTTATTATTTTATTGTTTCCCTTCAACGTGACCTTACCGAAAGAGCTAAGAATATGAATTACTGCAGTCACGAAAGCTTTAAATCAAAATGGCATTACCAGATTGAAAATACACGATTCCCTCTTTACTCATCAAGTTGCTATCCGCGATATTTTGCTATCCACGAATCGCATTTGGAACTCTACACAACTGTAATCGAAAGAGACGGAAACAAACTGATGAGACAAAGTGATGAAATAGAATGTGTCGTGAGAAAATTTACAAAGCAATGAGAGAAATTTCGAAGCTTTAGAAGCATCTGCTGCAGATTTTACACGTGCGATATTCATCGGCCAATATGATTATCCGCTAAATGTTCTATTCATGAGCATCTCGAGAGCATATCCCTCCCGAATAACGAGAGTATGCTGTACTATCCTACTCGTGCCCAATTAGTGCGGAATAGATGCTTGCAGGGCAGTTTCGGAGAGGCACCTCTCGTGTGGCCACAGGCCGTACCACGTTGATTTGCACAGTCGCATCCAGCCAGTGAGGCCATAGGTTTTCCACCCCTGCGTAGCCACGCGAGGGGAGGTTGCGTTGCGACGGCCACGCCGTTGTCTTAAGTTAAGTTACCCGGTTTTCTCGCCGAAGTGTGCCTGCAGAGCGCCCTCTGTGAATTCCACGAGCTGCCCCATCGTCTCCACGCCCAGCGTCTCGACCACCGAGCTCCCGAGCTTCCCCCCCAAGTGACGTCTGAGCAGCCGGGTCCACGCACACGCACAACAAAGACAGCTCGCGTGCATCGCACACGGAAATACACTTCGGTGGTGGGGGAGGGGGGTCACAAAATACACGTGACGCTGTTACACAGGGGGTTACGACTATGGTTGCTACAATCTCGTAAGTTTTCGTGACTGTGCTGCTGTATAGCTCCGATGTGTTTGCAGGTGATACCACGTGCTGTGTGGGAGGATGTAGTAACTTTAACTCTACCTGCTGGGATATTCAACAACTGCAAGAACTGAAAAAGCTTCCAGCACATGGAGCGAAATGTCGGACGTATAGCCAAACGATGGTTTGCTCAGTATGGAGATTGTTTTTAGGGTTTTTTGACATGGGATTGGGGATGGGCCAGGACCAGTTTAGACATCACCCACCGCTGATGTTTGCCGTGGCAAGGAATCAAAATCAGGTAACTGGGCTCGTAATGCAGTATGCTGACCATTGCATCATCACACAACCCCACGTAAAAAATAAGATTGAAAAAAAATGTAAGACCCACATCCTCACACAGAGACTCGCACAGGGGCCCACAAGGAGGCTGATCGTGCACTCACATCTTGCTGATCGGCAGCGTCGCGAAGAGCTTTGGGATGGAGGACAGTGACAGTACCGTCTGCTTGTTGGGCTTGTTCATGCCGCACGCTAGCTTGGCCAGCGTCTGCACCAATGCAGGGAGAGAAGACGCAACGCGTTACCGGCACGCGCGAGAGCAAATATCGTAACCGGAAAGCTATAAACGTTACCGCCACTGCGGTGACGAACACAGTCCATTTCGTGACGGTGCAATTACAGTGGGATTCCTCTGAACTGTGTCGAAGTGGAGGGTACCATTCCTCTATCAGCAAATTTGCAAATTAAAGGAGCGAGTTATCATATTATTTAAAAAAAATACTTCCCTATCTTTAAAGTATTTAGATAAATGCAGATTGAAAGATTTTTTTACAGGACTCCTTTTATCTGCGAAAATTAATCGACAATACGAATTTAGCGGCTACCACGACCACTTTTGTGTCACCCTTCTCATCCAAATAAACTCAAGAATCATGGAATTGACCAGTAGATTATCGAAGTTGTCACGGATCAGTAAAGAGACTGCATAAAAAGGGTCACAATGAAAAGGACTTTATACTATTGCGTGATGTGACACTGCGCGTTAAGTTTTCTCGCCTTGTTGTGGGCGATACCGGCCGAGCACTGGAACCCAGTCTCAGCCTCCACGGCCGCCCTCATCTCAGCTACCAGCGTGGCCCCCATGGCCAAACGCAGCTCCCCGTTAGTGGCGGCGGCACCCCCCTCTCCATCCTCTTCCGCCCCCAGCGAAGACAGCCACTCCGCCAACCCACGGACTCGCCGCGTTTCTGGTGACGCAAAGAAAATTGACTCGTGTGAACACAAAAAAATAATCACTAAACTCACCTCCAGATTAACTTTAAATTTATTTTTTTGCTTTGGCCACTCGATCGTTTGATGGCAAAAATTGCGCACGTGATCACTTTGTGCATGGTTACATTTTACTGTGATTTGCTTACGATGACAATAAAAATGTAAAAATGTTGTGGACAGCAGCAATGGATTTTGCAGCACTGCCGTCTGCTGCCCACAACATAGCCCAGCAACAGCAACAGCAGCGTATAACAACAACCTGTTATGCACGGTGGTCGCCTTTCCAAACACGGTACAATCTCAACCGTGCTTTGCTTCCAAGATCTTACGTGACATTACGGGTGATTTGGTCATAGGTGCAGTTGCATTTGTTATACGTCTTGTAACAGTTAACGGTGCACCTCTGTCGATCTCTACTCCTCCCACCCCGGCCGGGTCTCCCTCCCCGGCAGCGTCTACCTCCCTGTCACGGGGCCACCCCTCCACGTGGGTCCCGGGGAGGTCGTCGGGGACCAGGGGGCGGCCGTGCAAGGCACTGATGCGCGACGCCAAGGCGTCCGTCAGGTCCATGTAGGCCTCGTCGATGCTGGCGCGCTCCACGATAGCGAAGCGTGCCATGACGTCAAGCACCTGCACGCTCGCCTCCCGGTACCTGCCAAACGGCACGCGGAGCCAGCACCAGAGTGGCCGGTGAATAGTTCACTCTCTATTAAAATAATTACAAGTATTATTGAAATGTAATTACATTTAGTATTTGTGCCATTCTTATAGCGCAAGGCTATGATGAAAATACGTTTCACAGATGAGTGTAGTGAACCAGTAGGGGGAGATGTTGCTGTGCGTTTTTACCCTATTAAGTAATTTGCGAGTACGGTAGTTTAAAAACATTGACCTTAATGCCAGCACACGTGGCCTAGAATTACAACCGACGCCACGAGATCTTTAACCTCCGCTGTGAAGGAGACCGAGAGGGGGGAGGGCAGCGTTGTATATTTTAGCGAATACACCCGCAGTATTAACCAGGACGGCCGCTGGCCTCGAACCTCTGCAAAACAAATGCGATCGCCCTTCGTCTACGCGTCACGGCTGTGGGCTGCGCGATGGTGCGCTCACCTGGTGAGGTCGGCCTTGCCGTGCGCTTCGGGGACACGGGCGAGGAGGAGCTCGGGGCAGAGCTTCCGCGCCTCGTCTCCACGCATGTTGCGGCTCACCCCGAAGGCGCGCGCCTCATAGCTCACCGCGATGATGCTGCACCCCCAAGGAGGTGGGGGGGGGGGGAGCAGACGAGGACAACAATAGTCAGGGAATAATATTTTCTAAGAAAGCCTGAGAGTCTCAAGACAATTGCAGCAGGGTCCCGCTGCATTTGGGTGTTTGGTGGCCAATTTCCCCAGCGATTCGTTTTTTTATCCTCGTGTTTCGAGAATAATTCACCGCTCACCCGTAGAACATTAAACCAAAGGTTCGCACAGTTTACAAACCCACCTGCTGTCTTACCATCTAGCCTACCTCACACAGCCCAGTGAGAGTGGAAACTTTTACAAATCTCTACGTGATCCACTGACCCTTGCCTATAATGCTGGATCACAGGCGGTGTTGTCTTGTATCTTCTCCCCACAGACGGCCACGTAAACCACTCCACTTCACCACGCTGGTTGTTGCAGGTTGGTGACGAGGGGTTACTCAGGATTGTAGCAAACTAAACTAGAAACTAATCTTTGGTTCTTTCGGTAAAACTTTACCGAAAGAACCAAACAGTCATTCCTGCAGTCACGAAAGCTTCAAATTAACATAGACACTTCCGTGCCCTCGTTTAGGAGGCCGCTCTCCTATCTTACCGTTACATGCTAATTTCTCACATTAACATCACTAGCCCCGGCCACTTCTTGATAATCCTTGAGCGACACCCATTTCAAACCTTTTAAAACAGTCTGGCTCAGCAGCAGACCATGCTTTCCCACCTGATGATGTACTCTTGTGTTGCGCCCGAAACGTGATTTCTTTTATACCTACGTGACAATACCGAAAGAACCAAAGAGTATGGATTCCTGCAGTCACGAAAGCGTCAAATCAAGATAGAAACTATTTGTTTTATTTTACCAAGGCCCAAAGGGCTACAAAGCTTTTTTTCTCAGAAGCGACCCGACCACAAATGATAGTTCTAGATGTAAAGCTTTCGTGACTCCACTCACTCACTCCACTCACTCACTCCACTCACTCACTCCACTCACTCACTCCACTCACTCCACTCACCCCCTGCTGCTGGTCCGTTATGGTCCCCACCCGCTCCTGGTCCATCATGGCCCATACACCTCCTACGTATATCGTGCTCATTTCTATACTAATTCCTTTGTCAAGCGTTTTGCTTCCTCCCACACAGCTTAAAGGATGCGACTTGGGCTTGGCTGTTTTCACTCCAACGCTGTCCTCATGACAGCACGGTCCCTTCACCTGATGAAGGCCACTTGTGTTGTGGCTGAAACGTCGTGAATTTTTTATTTTTGTTGTTTGTTACGTGACTTTACCGAATAGAACCAAAGAGCACAAATGATAGCTCAACGAAGCTGGCTTATCATCATCACATGGGAATTTAAATCGGTCAAATACTCGAAACGCGCGTTCATTCTAAATGTGGAGTGAAAAATACGGAACCGGAGAAAAATCCACACGACCACGTGGAGCGACACAGCAAACTCCAAACATACAGTGGCAGGCGTCAGGGTCAGGCTCGAACCCACGAGCTCCTGCACACCAGGCGAGGGTGTTAACATCTCATAGCCACGGTGATGATGATGATGAGAGAGAGACACGCAAACTCCAAATATACAGCAGCAGGCGTCAGGGTCCAACCCACGACCTCCTGCATACCAGGCGAGGGAGTTAACATCTCATAGCTACCGTGATGATGATGAGAGAGACACGCAAACTCCAAATATACAGCAGCAGCAGGCGTCAGGGTCGAACCCACGACCTCCTGCACACCAGGCGAGGGAGTTAACATCTCATAGCCACCGCGGCGTAACGAGCCACTCACCCTCCTCCTCGCCAGCCCTTGTATTGCACCACCACGCACGGCTTGCCCTTGAGCTGAGGGTTAAACTTCTGCTCCACCTGGACATAGAAGCAGTCCATGTCCACCAAGGCCACGACCCGCTCTGTGCCTCGTTCCATGGGGACTTGTGATGGAAATCCTCCCCAATTCTCTGGAGTGATGGTCCACGAATCGTGGCTTGTTGCAAACCAAAGGTATCTACTCCACCCTAAAGTTATACAACTGTCGAATGTCACCCAGTTTATTTAAATAAAAAACACAATAAGCAATGCTGCTTTGGTGCGGACGGTCACACGGGTGTGTTGTGCGTCTCAAAGTGAGGAGCCTCCAGACGTGGCGAGGAGTTTAGTTCTAATCGCGAGTCTGCGTCTTCCTTACGGGTCTGCTCCCTACCCTTAGGTGTTTATTCTGATTCTGACAGCGCTGCATTGTGACCCTTTTATCAATGGGTAGCCGAGGAGCAGGCAGACCAATGAGCTCGGCATTAGCCAGAATAGCCAAATGTCATGTACTTCACCGACTTAAAGCCGGAGAGCCACGCCGCTAACTCGTACCGAGGGGAATGTTTTGCCGGACGGGGTTCCTGCATTCAAGACGTTTTGACCAAAATTCCTTTGCATGAAGTAAAAATAAAAATAAATCATAAACCATAAACGTCTCACGCCTCTTACGAACGTAAACGAGACGCGTGCGCGCGAGCCGGACGTGGTCCGCGTTACACAACGCAGCTAAAATCTTAATCACCACCGGGCGTGGACCCAATTCCACTGCTGGATTGAAGGCCCTTCAGCCAAGCCGTGGCAATCTCTTGCGATCCTGCGATGTAACAACTGCGCGGCCTTGTACCGATTAGAAGGAAGAAGAAGAAGAAAAAAACCGCCAATGCAAAACATAACCACCGGTTAACTAAGTCGCATTAGTAAAAATGTATTTCAAAAATACGCGGCGCTGAGTCGCACCGTCCAACGTTGTGCAAATGTCTCCATGTGTTAGGATGACGTAATATCCTGCGTGCGTCATGACGGCGATTTGCACGCGCGCGCGATGACGTCACTGTCACCGGTAGAATATGACATCATCACGGTACAGTACAGTTACTGGATTTGGAAGCCCCCGGAAGCGGATGGTCGAGCGTGATGACGTAGACTACCGCCATTTCTTTATGACGCAATGACGCAACGTACGTCCATTGCGTTAACATTACGGGAAACGCGCGAGCGTGATGACGTTACCTGCCATCTTTTTCGACAAACGTCATCACGCATCAGCGGCTGTCGTGGAATCGTTGGGGAGTATCGAGCGTGATGACGTCAAAACCACGGTTATAAAATTGCGTAATCACGCTTTCGACGTCATGGTTGGCACCACGAGCGGATGTGCGAGCGCGATGACGTCGTCGTCGACCAGTTACGGCATGACGTACCGAACGTGCGAGCGTAAAGACGTCAGCGATCGTTGTTTACGTCACAACGTCATCACGTAACCTTGGCTGCCTGCATCGATTCCACGATTAGTTAAATTACTATCGATTCGTAGGCTATCTTTACTGGTAGGTAATCGTGCTGTGGTAATCTATTGTTATTGATGTCGTCGATTATATGAAACTAAAATTATGTTGTATACATTGTCAGAATCTGAATATGTATTGATGCTGGAGGAATCCGATGAGCTAGTTAGAGTAGCGGTTTCTAATGGCTGGCTGTAGTCATTAAAGCATTCCAACATCCGAATCAAGTAATCGAACTCGTGACATAAATTTTAATCGAATCGTGATCAGTAATTAAACCTGTAGAAGTAATCTAATGCAATAATGACAATCGTTACAAGTAATCCAATAATGACAATCGTTACAAGTAATCCAATAATGACAATCGAATCCAGTCATGACAAGTAATCTTATATTGAGAAGTAGTCGTATAGTTTACATGTAATCCAATAGAATAGTTTACATGTAATCCAATAGAATGGTTTGCATGTAACCTAATATCATAGTTTACATGTAATCTAATAGAATAGTTTACATGTATTCCAATAAAATGGTTTACATGCAATCCAATATAATAGTTGACATGTAATCCAATAGAATGGTTAACATGTAATCCAATAGAATGGTTTACATGTAATCTAATATAATGGTTTACATGTTTTCCAATAGAATGGTTTACATGTAATCCAATAGAATAGTTTACATGTAATCCAATAGAATAGTTTACATGTAATCCAATATAATAGTTTACATGTAATCCAATATAATAGTTTACATGTAATCCAATATCATAGTTTACATGTAATCCAATAGAATGGTTTACATGTTTTCCAATAGAATAGTTTACATGTAATTCAATATAATAGTTTACATGTAATCCAATATAGTAGTTTACATGTAATCCAACCGAATAGTTTACATGTAATCCAATATAATGGTTTACATGTAATCCATTAGAATGGTTTACATGTAATCCAATAGAATAGTTTACATGTAATCCAATATAATGGTTTACATGTAATCCAATATAATGGTTTACATGTAATCCAATATAATAGTTTACATGTAATCCAATATAATAGTTTACATGTAATCCAATAGAATAGTTTACATGTGATCCAATAGAATAGTTTACATGTAATCCAATAGAATGGTTTACATGTAATCCAATATAATGGTTTACATGTTTTCCAATAGAATAGTTTACATGTAATCCAATAGAATAGTTTACATGTAATCCAATATAATGGTTTACATGTAATCCAATATAATAGTTTACATGTAATCCAATATAATGGTTTACATGTAATCCAATATAATGGTTTACATGTAATCCAATATAAAAGTTTACATGTAATCCAATATAATAGTTTACATGTAATCCAATAGAATAGTTTACATGTGATCCAATAGAATAGTTTACATGTAATCCAATAGAATGGTTTACATGTAATCCAATATAATGGTTTACATGTTTTCCAATAGAATAGTTTACATGTAATCCAATATCATAGTTTACATGTAATCCAATATCATAGTTTACATGTAATCCAACCGAATAGTTTACATGTAATCCAATAGAATGGTTTACATGTAATCCAATAGAATAGTTTACATGTAATCCAATAGAATGGTTTACATGTAATCCAATATAATAGTTTACATGTAATCCAATATAATGGTTTACATGTAATCCAATATAATAGTTTACATGTAATCCAATATAATAGTTTACATGTAATCCAATAGAATAGTTTACATGTGATCCAATAGAATAGTTTACATGTAATCCAATAGAATGGTTTACATGTAATCCAATATAATGGTTTACATGTTTTCCAATAGAATAGTTTACATGTAATCCAATAGAATAGTTTACATGTAATCCAATATAACACTTTACATGTAATCCAACCGAATAGTTTACATGTAATCCAATAAAATGGTTTACATGTAATCCAATAGAATGGTTTACATGTAATCCAATAGAATGGTTTACATGTAATCCAATATAATAGTTTAGATGTAATCTAATATAATAGTTTACATGTAATCCAATAGAATGGTTTACATGTAATCCGGACAAGGGTAATGGAATAGGTGGTGGCTTGGTATGGATTGGGTGGCATGATATTCGTTGCAATGTTTTATTTTTAGTATCTAAGGTGTTCAAAAATCGACAACATTACATGACCTGGATTAACGTGTTCATAATGATCGATAACTTTATATCATTTTCAAGAATTAAAACTGTTACGTTTTGTATTAAATTTATTCCTTAAATTGGTTGTACTGTTTTATGTTTTACGTTAATAAAGAATCAAACATAGCAACAACTATTGTTGCCATAGGATGGGGGCATGCCTCACGTTGTGGACCTCCTCTAATGGAACACCTGCGCCGGTTGGAAACATTGAGGCTGGCATGCCTACGATCCATCCTGGGGTTCACCAGGCTGGATAATTGTGTGCGGAGCTCACAAATCCTTGAAAGATCTGGACACAGTCCCATCAGTGAGCTCCTCCGGCAGGCGAGGCTGCCTTGGCTGGGTGATGTAGCCCCCATGCCCAGCCACCGCATGCCCAACCAGCTTCTGTTTCACCGCATAGAGGGGGATAAACGGGCACAGCACGGGCTGGATAAGAGATGGAGCTGATGTGGTACAGGAGGATGTGGAGCTGAGTGGACTAGCCAAAGACCGGTGCCAGCGGTGTCAGGAGGAGGCTCGTGAAGGACGCTGCTGCTGCTGCTACTGGGCAGTTGGAGACAGTCGCCCTCCAGCAACAACGGAGAGCAGAGGAGCGACGCTCACAACAACGAGCGGAGCGCCGGGCGGTTAAAACGCAGCAATTTGGCACAGCTGGGTGCATCTACCGGTCATCTCAGTCAGTCAACCCATGGCACCTGCTGAGCCTGCCCCGAGTCCTCCTTCCTGTCAGCGAGCCTTCGACACTCCACGTGGCCTCAAAGTGCACCTAGCCTGGCACAGGCGCCGTGGTCACCGTCACTGAGTGGCGAATGACGTCAGTGTTGGTATTGGTGCAGGTCCGAGCGCTGCGCCACCAGCACCAGTGACGATCATTCGAACCGGTCCATGGGTCCCTTCCCCTAGGTCGACACAGCCTCAAATGATGACCTGGTGCGATATGTGTGAATGTCGCCACCGAGGGAGACAAAGGCGGCCGGGCGTGGTTGCTGGCCACCCCCCTCCCCCTCTATCCCGGTGCGCCGTGCCGGCCTTCACAGGTGCTGCTTCTCGCTAACAGCACTTGCCCCAATGGCCTGTCAGGGGCTACACGGGGCATCTTTGTCTGTGGTGCAGGCTCCGAGTGGTGACGTCACGGCCCTGGGGCTGTCGCTCCGTCTGGGATGTCACGTTGCCCAGGTGTGGTGCAGATCACAGGTGATGCAGGCGCTCTCTCGCAGTTATTCCTTGACACGCAGCAGCAGCAGCAGCAACAACAAACAACAACCACCGTGTATCGTTATCTTTTAAACTCGCGTCCGTGTGTGTGTGTGTGTTTTATAAAGTTTAGGCGTGTTCCATTTAAACTTTAGAAAACAACAACTATCCGGCCCTTTCGCGAGCTCTCTGAAGGCGTTCATGAGGTTGGGGAAAAGAGTTTAAAGTTCTCAACAAAGGTAAGTGAACACCTGCACGTATGTACGCTGACATTATAGTACACGTATACCTGTCAAGACAAGAAACTCTACTTTGTAATAGGCAGGCGTTGTAAGCTATAATTGGGTTCTTAATGATGAGCGTTAACCATTGGGAGGCTGCAATTGACATTCCACCTTCCTGCGACAGTGGTAAGTCGCCCCCACGGCACTACGATTGCCATCACTAGACAATAGTTGGGGCGTTCATTCGAGAAATAAGGTCGCGTTTTGGAATCGTCAACAGCCACGATCAATCCACTGTTGGATAAAGGGCACACACACACACGTGTCTTCACCATCTCGCACGAGCCATGTGATGATGGAGCAATCCGTCTTAAGCACCTGCAACGCGAGTTGATTTCATCCGCTCCATCTCCGTGGGGGATGTCCACTCGAGCGCATTCCTTTTTTTGGCTACCACTGGCACCGTTGGTCTTGCCGATTGGCCAGCATCGCGGGATCCTTGCGACGTGTTGCGTGTGTACAGCTAGTGATATAGTCACCCAGGTGTGTGTACAACTAGTGATATAGTCACCCAGGTGTGTGTACAACTAGTGATATAGTCACCCAGGTGTGTGTACAGCTAGTGATATAGTCACTCAGGTGTGTGTACAGCTAGTGATATAGTCACCCAGGTGTATGTACAACTAGTGATATAGTCACCCAGGTGTATGTACAACTAGAGCTATAGTCACCCAGGTGTGTGTACAGCTAGAGCTATAGTCACCCAGGTGTGTGTACAACTAGTGATATAGTCACCCAGGTGTGTGTACAACTAGTGATATAGTCACCCAGGTGTGTGTACAGCTAGTGATATAGTCACCCAGGTGTGTGTAGAGCTAGTGATAGTCACCCAGGTGTGTGTACAGCTAGTGATATAGTCACCCAGGTGTGTGTACAACTAGTGATATAGTCACCCAGGTGTATGTACAGCTAGTGTTATAGTAACCCAGGTGTGTGTACAACTATTGATATATAGTTACCCAGGTGTGTGTACAGCTAGTGATATAGTCACCCAGGTGTGTGTACAGCTCGTGATATAGTCACCCAGGTGTGTGTACAGCTAGTGATATAGTCACCCAGGTGTGTGTACAGCTAGAGCTATAGCCACCCAGGTGTGTGTACAGCTCGTGATATAGTCACCCAGGTGTGTGTACAGCTAGTGATATAGTCACCCAGGTGTGTGTACAGCTCGTGATATAGTCACCCAGGTGTGTGTACAACTAGAGCTGTAGTCACCCAGGTGTATGTACAACTAGTGATATAGTCACTCAGGTGTATGTACAACTAGTCATATAGCCACCCAGTGTGTGTACAGCTAGTGATATAGTCACCCAGGTGTGTGTATAGCTAGTGATATAGTCACCCAGATGTGTGTGCAACTTGTGATATAGTCACCCAGGTGTGTGTACAGCTAGTGATATAGTCACCCAGGTGTGTGTACAGCTAGAGCTATAGTCACCCAGGTGTGTGTACAACTAGTGATATAGTCACCCAGGTGTGTGTACAACTAGTGCTATAGTCACCCAGGTGTGTGTACAGCTAGTGATATAGTCACCCAGGTGTGTGTACAGTTAGTGATATAGTCACTCAGGTGTGTGTACAACTAGTGATATAGTCACCCAGGTGTGTGTACAGCTAGTGATATAGTCACCCATGTGTGTACAGCTCGTGATATAGTCACCCAGGTGTGTGTACAACTAGTGATATAGTCACCCAGGTGTGTGTACAACTAGTGATATAGTCACCCAGGTGTGTGTAGAACTAGTGATATAGTCACTCAGGTGTGTATACAGCTAGTGATATAGTCACCCAGGTGTGTGTACAACTAGTGATATAGTCACCCAGGTGTGTGTACAGCTAGTGATATAGTCACCCTGGTGTGTGTACAACTAGTGATATAGTCACCCAGGTGTATGTACAACTAGTGATATAGTCACCCAGGTGTGTGTACAACTAGTGATATAGTCACTCAGGTGTGTGTACAGCTAGTGATATAGTCATCCAGGTGTGTGTACAGCTAGTGATATAGTCACCCAGGTGTGTGTACAGCTAGTGATATAGTCACCCAGGTGTGTGTACAGCTAGAGCTATAGTCACCCAGGTGTGTGTACAACTAGTGATATAGTCACCCAGGTGTGTGCACAACTAGTGATATAGTCACCCAGGTGTGTGTACAGCTAGTGATATAGTCACCCAGGTGTGTGTAGAGCTAGTGATAGTCACCCAGGTGTGTGTACAGCTAGTGATATAGTCACCCAGGTGTGTGTACAACTAGTGATATAGTCACCCAGGTGTATGTACAGCTAGTGTTATAGTAACCCAGGTGTGTGTACAACTATTGATATATAGTTACCCAGGTGTGTGTACAGCTAGTGATATAGTCACCCAGGTGTGTGTACAGCTCGTGATATAGTCACCCAGGTGTGTGTACAGCTAGTGATATAGTCACCCAGGTGTGTGTACAGCTAGAGCTATAGCCACCCAGGTGTGTGTACAGCTCGTGATATAGTCACCCAGGTGTGTGTACAGCTAGTGATATAGTCACCCAGGTGTGTGTACAGCTCGTGATATAGTCACCCAGGTGTGTGTACAACTAGAGCTGTAGTCACCCAGGTGTATGTACAACTAGTGATATAGTCACTCAGGTGTATGTACAACTAGTCATATAGCCACCCAGTGTGTGTACAGCTAGTGATATAGTCACCCAGGTGTGTGTATAGCTAGTGATATAGTCACCCAGATGTGTGTGCAACTTGTGATATAGTCACCCAGGTGTGTGTACAGCTAGTGATATAGTCACCCAGGTGTGTGTACAGCTAGAGCTATAGTCACCCAGGTGTGTGTACAACTAGTGATATAGTCACCCAGGTGTGTGTACAACTAGTGCTATAGTCACCCAGGTGTGTGTACAGCTAGTGATATAGTCACCCAGGTGTGTGTACAGTTAGTGATATAGTCACTCAGGTGTGTGTACAACTAGTGATATAGTCACCCAGGTGTGTGTACAGCTAGTGATATAGTCACCCATGTGTGTACAGCTCGTGATATAGTCACCCAGGTGTGTGTACAACTAGTGATATAGTCACCCAGGTGTGTGTACAACTAGTGATATAGTCACCCAGGTGTGTGTAGAACTAGTGATATAGTCACTCAGGTGTGTATACAGCTAGTGATATAGTCACCCAGGTGTGTGTACAACTAGTGATATAGTCACCCAGGTGTGTGTACAGCTAGTGATATAGTCACCCAGGTGTGTGTACAACTAGTGATATAGTCACCCAGGTGTATGTACAACTAGTGATATAGTCACCCAGGTGTGTGTACAACTAGTGATATAGTCACTCAGGTGTGTGTACAGCTAGTGATATAGTCATCCAGGTGTGTGTACAGCTAGTGATATAGTCACCCAGGTGTGTGTACAGCTAGTGATATAGTCACCCAGGTGTGTGTACAGCTAGTGATATAGTCACCCAGGTGTGTGTACAGTTAGTGATATAGTCACTCAGGTGTGTGTACAACTAGTGATATAGTCACCCAGGTGTGTGTACAGCTAGTGATATAGTCACCCATGTGTGTACAGCTCGTGATATAGTCACCCAGGTGTGTGTACAACTAGTGATATAGTCACCCAGGTGTGTGTACAACTAGTGATATAGTCACCCAGGTGTGTGTAGAACTAGTGATATAGTCACTCAGGTGTGTGTACAGCTAGTGCTATAGTCACCCAGGTGTGTGTACAGCTCGTGATTTAGTCGCCCAGGTGTGTGTACAGCTAGTGATATAGTCACTCAGGTGTGTGTACAACTAGTGATATAGTCACCCAGGTGTGTGTACAGCTAGTAATATAGTCACCCAGGTGTGTGTACAGCTAGTGATATAGTCACTCAGGTGTGTGTACAACTAGTGATATAGTCACTCAGGTGTGTGTACAACTAGAGCTATAGTCACCCAGGTGTGTGTACAGCTAGTGATATAGTCACCCAGGTGTGTGTAGAGCTAGTAATATAGTCACCCAGGTGTGTGTACAGCTAGTGATATAGTCACCCAGGTGTGTGTACAGCTAGTGATATAGTCACCCAGGTGTGTGTACAGCTAGTGATATAGTCACCCAGGTGTGTGTACAAGTAGAGCTATAGTCAGCCAGGTGTGTGTACAGCTAGTGATATAGTCACCCAGGTGTGTGTAGAGCTAGTAATATAGTCACCCAGGTGTGTGTACAGCTAGTGATATAGTCACCCAGGTGTGTGTACAACTAGTGATATAGTCACCCAGGTGTGTGGAAAGCTAGTGATATAGTCACCCAGGAGTGTGTACAGCTAGTGATATAGTCACCCAGGTGTGTGTACAGCTAGAGCTATAGCCACCCAGGTGTGTGTACAACTAGTGATATAGTCACCCAGGTGTGTGGAAAGCAGGTGATATAGTCACCCAGGTGTGTGTACAGCTCGTGATATAGTCACCCAGGAGTGTGTACAGCTAGTGATATAGCCACCCAGGTGTGTGTACAGCTAGTGATATAGTGACCCAGGTGTGTGTAGAGCAGTAGGAAGCGATGGCCACGCTGTACTCATGGTTTAGAATAACAATAAAACTAGGCAGACTCATTGTTCTCTGTCTTCAAATAATATGGCCGCAATGTTCAAAGTTAGAAGTCTTATACAAGGCTGTCACGCACCGTGTGTGTGTCTACAGCTACTCCCACTGAGGTGTGTGTATGTGTACAGCAGTTCGGCAATGATGACTATGCTGTACTGATGATCACAATC